ACTGTGGTGCAGAATGTTGTCATTATTACACAAAATGGGTGATTAAAAAATCAAGAATGTTTCCCTCCGTGAACTCCTGAACGAACTAAGTAACCAAGTCGGTAATTAATGCATTATCCCGTGGGCGTCCCAAAAGGGTGGAAAACTTGGGAAATTCAACCAAAGCCGAACATCCCGGCGTCTGGAGAGCTGCGTTGTCCCATTTGGTTCTCCGTCTCCAAGGGAATGGAACTGGTTCCAAGTCTATGGGCACTGGTTTTGTCTCTCAGTGTTGGGACTCTGGGCTGGTTGCTCGTGTGGGGCGTTTATTACAATGTGACCAGGACGCATCTTCCCCCGGACATCAAGCAACGCACGAAACTGCGATGGATTACCTTCTTGCAGAATGTCCTGATGGCGTTGGTGAGTTTCCTTCCATCTCTGGTCGCAGGCCTTCAAGCTGAGGATCACGATAATCAATAATTAATCAATACAATCATAATAATCAATTGCATGGTCGATCGATCCCAGGATTTATATCGCACCCTGGGATTTGTAGATTTGTACAACTCCCATTATCCTGGGATTTGTAGTTCGCCCATGGTTATGTTGCTGAATGGAGTGGGACTACAATTCCCATTATCCTAGGATTTATACTTTGTCGTGGTTATGTCACTGAACGGAGTGGGACAACTCCCATTATCCTAGGATTTATACTTTGTCGTGGTTATGTCACTGAATGGAGTTGGACTACAACTCCCATTATCTTGGGATTTGTAGTTTGCCATGGTGGTGTCAATGTATGGAGTGGGACTCCAACTCCAATTATCCTTTTTGTGTCACAAGTGACTTGAGAAACTGCAAATCGCTTCTGGTGTGAGGACATTGCCCAGGGGCTGCCCAGAAGTTTTGATGGTTTACCATCCTTGTGGGAGGCTTCTCTCATGTTCCCGCACAGGGAGCTGGAGCTGACAGAGGGAACTCATCCACGCTCTCCCCGGATTCGAACCTACGACCTGTCAGTCTTCAATCCTGCCGGAACGAGGGTTTAACCCACTGCGTAACCGGGGGGTCCTCCCATTATCCTGGGATTTATAGTTTGCTGTGGTTGTGTCACTGAATGGAGTGGGATGACAACTCCCATTATGCTGGGATTTGAAATTTACCTGTGGTGTTTAAGTCAAGGAAACTGAACTACCGCCTTCACAGTCATGGGATTCGTAGTTTTCTCATTCACCTTTGCTCTCTGATAACATTGTGTGTTATATGATTTTTTTCCCCTGGGATACGAATGTTGTTTTCTAATTGCTTCAATCACAAGCTCATCGCCAACGAAGATACAATTTACCGTTCACTGTTTCTCTTGTTTCTCCAAAACAGGCCTTAGGGATCGAGAAACTCGGAGTTTGTAGCCGGTACAAAATCTGGCAGCTAATATTCAATGGCATCCCACCGTTGGGAGATTCGGGGCTGATCATTAAGGACTTACGGTTCGACGAGGTGCCGGTGCGGATGTATCGTTCCAAATCCCAACCGTCGAAGAAGAGTAGAGCCATTGTCTACATCCCGGGAGGAGTGGGGCTGCTGGGAAGTATCTGTAAGTCCTTGGCACGGCACCTTCAACGATCTCGCTCTTGATATCCTATTCCAACTCTGTCTTATCTATTAGGGCTGTGTGATTTTTTCCATTCATCATCGTAAGTCGGATCAAATTCGTCAAATTTGTACTTATGGCACAATATCCAACAGCACATAGCCTATCATCCATATACGGTGTAGATGTTTCAGGATGAAACTTGGTACCCTTGTCGTCAACATTTAAGACTTTAAGCCTGCCAGGTTTCTGAAAGTTTTGGTCATTGACTAATTTTTAGGAAATTTAATTTTTAATAATTGTTTTTAAATAATTGATCATTGTTTTTAAGCCACACAAGATATCCCCTTTAATTTCTGCACAACGGGACAACATAGGTGACTATTGTTGATCCACATGTTCTCCTGCAGTGAGGACATTTGTTTCCAGGTGGAAGGCGGTCCTGGTCGGGGTTGGCTTGATGTGCCTTCCTCTTGGCAAGTTTCTTTCTTTCACCCTCTATTTGTGCCTCTTCAAATTCTACAGCACTGCTGGTCACAGCTGACCTCCAGCTGGAGTGCTCAAGGGCCAGGGCTTCCCAGTTCTCAGTGTCTATGCCAGAGTTTTTAAGGTTGGCTTTGAGCCCATCTTTAAATCTCTTTTCCTGCACCAACATTCCGTTTTCCATTCTTGAGTTCGGAGTAGAGCAACTGCTTTGGGAAAACGATGGTCGGGCATCAGGACAATGTGGCCGGTCCATCAGAGTTGATGGCAGAGGACCATCGCTTCAGTGCTGGTGGTCTTTGCTTCTTCCAGCATGCTGATATTTGTCCACTTGTCTTCTCAAGAGATTTGCAATTTTTTTTGGAGTCAACGCTGATGGAATCATTCCAGGAGTTGCATGTGACGTCTGTAGACAGTCCACGTCTCGCAGGGTTGGGAGGACAATAGCTTTATAAACAAGCACCTTGGTCTCCCTACAGATGTCCCGGTCCTCAAACACTCTCTGCTTCATTCAGAAAAATGCTGCACTCTCAGAGCTCAGGCGGTGTTGTATTTCAGTGTCAATGTTGACGTCTGTAGACAGTCCACGTCTCACAGGCATATAGCAGGTTTGGGAGGACAATAGCTTTATAAACAAGCCCCTAGGTCCCTACGGATGTCCCGGTTCTCAAACACTCTTTGCTTCATTTGGAAAAATGCTGCCCTCGCAGAGCTCGGGTGGTGTTGTATTTCAGTGTCAATGTTGACGTCTGTAGACAGTCCACATCTCACAGGCATATGGCAGGTTTGGGAGGACAATAGCTTTATAAACAAGCACCTTTGTCTCCCTACGGATGTCCCAGTTCTCAAACATTCTTTGCTTCATTCGGAAAAATGCTGCACTCGCAGAGCTCAAGCAATGTTGTATTTCAGTGTCAATGTTGACGTCTGTAGACAGTCCGCATCTCGCAGGCATATAGCAGGGTTGGGAGGACAATAGCTTTATCAACAAGCCCCTTGGTCTCCCTACGGATGTCCCGGTCCTCAAACATTCTTTGCTTCATTTGGAAAAATGCTGCACTCGCAGAGCTCAGGCGGTGTTGTATTTCAGTGTCAACGCTGACTTTTGTGGAGAGGTGGCTGCCAAGGGAGCGGATTTCAAGGGTCGCACACAAGCTGATTTTGTACAGAATCATTCCCGAACTGCGAATATTCTTTCGGGAATGCTTTCGTTGTGGGAAGTTGGATTCGATGGTCTTTGTGGCCTTTCTCCTTTCTATGATTCTCTGAATCAATGGTTAGGTAGGTCGACACTTATGTAAACTTCACTGGTTTCGACCGGTTTACTCCAGTTGTCCCAACAGTCCCTGTCAAAAGAATTCGAGCTCATTCCTCTAGAAATAGATTCAAGTGCTCGTGGGTTTTTCAATCCTCAAAGGAAGTAATCGGCCTGTTTTTTTCTATATTTTAGCGGCGTATGAAAGGGTGTGTCGCTTCATCGCCCGAGAAAGCGAGTTCGTGGTGGTGAGCATTGGGTAAGTGGCATTATTTCTGACGCCGAAGTGAAACATGTTCTCAAAAACTGAATCAAACCAATCACCTTTCCAGCCCAGCATTTTATTTCCTGTGTAGACACTAGGGTTGTGCACTGATCCGCTTATCAAAACGGGCTCCGGCGTTTTCGGTCAGCCATAACGTCACAGGCTCCACCGCAATTTTTTTCGACCACAACAAACAATGTGGCTGCCAAAACCAATTACTTTCTGATACTTTTGGATACTTTTACAATAATCAGAGAGGGTTCTGGGAATTGGAGTCGCTGCTGACTGAGTCCATCCTCGACAAATCAGAGATCGTTGCTGGTTGTGTCCATCATCAGCCAATCAGAGATAGCTGCTGATTGTGTCCATCCTCAGCCAATCAGAGATCGCTTCTGGTTGTGTCCATTCTCGGCCAATCAGAGATGGCTACTGATTGTGCCCATCCTCAGACAAACAGAGATCGCTGTTGGTTGTGTCCATCGTCAGCCAATCAGAGATCACTGCTGGTTGTGTCTATCCTCAGCCAATCAGAGATAGCTTCTGGTTGTGTCTATCCTCAGCCAAACAGAGATCACTGCTGGTTGTGTCCATTCTCGGCCAATCAGCGATCGCTGCTGGTTGTGTCCATCCTCAGCCAAACAGAGATCACTGCTGGTTGTGTCCATTCTCGGCCAATCAGCGATCGCTGCTGGTTGTGTCCATCCTCAGCCAAACAGAGATCACTGCTGGTTGTGTCCATTCTCGGCCAATCAGAGATCGCTGCTGGTTGTGTCCATCCTCAGCCAAACAGAGATCGCTGTTGGTTGTGTCCATCGTCAGCCAATCAGAGATCACTGCTGGTTGTGTCCATTCTCGGCCAATCAGAGATCGCTGCTGGTTGTGTCCATCCTCAGCCAAACAGAGATCGCTGTTGGTTGTGTCCATCGTCAGCCAATCAGAGATCACTGCTGGTTGTGTCCATCCTCAGCCAATCAGAGATCGCTGCTGGTTGTGTCCATTCTCGGCCAATCAGAGATCGCTGCTGGTTGTGTCCATCCTCAGCCAAACAGAGATCACTGCTGGTTGTGTCCATTCTCGGCCAATCAGAGATCGCTGCTGGTTGTGTCCATCCTCAGCCAAACAGAGATCGCTGTTGGTTGTGTCCATCGTCAGCCAATCAGAGATCACTGCTGGTTGTGTCCATTCTCGGCCAATCAGAGATCGCTGCTGGTTGTGTCCATCCTCAGCCAAACAGAGATCGCTGTTGGTTGTGTCCATCGTCAGCCAATCAGAGATCACTGCTGGTTGTGTCCATCCTCAGCCAATCAGAGATCGCTGCTGGTTGTGTCCATTCTCGGCCAATCAGAGATCGCTGCTGGTTGTGTCCATCCTCAGCAATCAGATATCGCTGCTGGTTGTGTCCATCTTCAGCCAATCAAAGATCACTGTTGGTTGTGTCCATCCTCAGCCAATCAGAGATCACTGCTGGTTGTGTCCTTCCTCAGCCAAACAGAGATCACTGCTGGTTGTGTCCATTCTCGGCCAATCAGAGATCGCTGCTGGTTGTGTCCATCCTCAGCCAAACAGAGATCACTGCTGGTTGTGTCCATTCTCGGCCAATCAGCGATCGCTGCTGGTTGTGTCCATCCTCAGCCAAACAGAGATCACTGCTGGTTGTGTCCATTCTCGGCCAATCAGAGATCGCTGCTGGTTGTGTCCATCCTCAGCCAAACAGAGATCGCTGTTGGTTGTGTCCATCGTCAGCCAATCAGAGATCACTGCTGGTTGTGTCCATTCTCGGCCAATCAGAGATCGCTGCTGGTTGTGTCCATCCTCAGCCAAACAGAGATCGCTGTTGGTTGTGTCCATCGTCAGCCAATCAGAGATCACTGCTGGTTGTGTCCATCCTCAGCCAATCAGAGATCGCTGCTGGTTGTGTCCATTCTCGGCCAATCAGAGATCGCTGCTGGTTGTGTCCATCCTCAGCAATCAGATATCGCTGCTGGTTGTGTCCATCTTCAGCCAATCAAAGATCACTGTTGGTTGTGTCCATCCTCAGCCAATCAGAGATCACTGCTGGTTGTGTCCTTCCTCAGCCAAACAGAGATCACTGCTGGTTGTGTCCATTCTCGGCCAATCAGAGATCGCTGCTGGTTGTGTCCATCCTCAGCCAAACAGAGATCACTGCTGGTTGTGTCCATTCTCGGCCAATCAGCGATCGCTGCTGGTTGTGTCCATCCTTAGCCAAACAGAGATCACTGCTGGTTGTGTCCATTCTCGGCCAATCAGAGATCGCTGCTGGTTGTGTCCATCCTCAGCCAAACAGAGATCGCTGTTGGTTGTGTCCATCGTCAGCCAATCAGAGATCACTGCTGGTTGTGTCCATCCTCAGCCAATCAGAGATCGCTGCTGGTTGTGTCCATTCTCGGCCAATCAGAGATCGCTGCTGGTTGTGTCCATCCTCAGCAATCAGATATCGCTGCTGGTTGTGTCCATCTTCAGCCAATCAAAGATCACTGTTGGTTGTGTCCATCCTCAGCCAATCAGAGATCACTGCTGGTTGTGTCCTTCCTCAGCCAAACAGAGATCGCTGCTGGTTGTGTCCATCCTCAGCCAAACAGAGATCGCTGTTGGTTGTGACCATCCTTAGCCAATCAGAGATCACTGCTGGTTGTGTCCATCCTCAGCCAAACAGAGATAGCTGCTGGTTGTGTCCTTCCTCAGCCAATCAGAGATCGCTGCTGGATTATCCATTCTCAGCCAAACAGAGATCACTGCTAGTTGTGTCCATCCTCAGCCAATCAGAGATAGCTGCTGGTTGTGTCCATCCCAAGCCAATCAGAGATCACTGCTGATTGTGTCCATTCTCAGCCAATTAGAGATTGCTGCTGGTTTATCCATCCTCAGCCAAACAGAGATCACCGCTAGTTGTGTCCATCCTCAGTCAATCAGAGATGGCTGCTGGTTGTGTCCATCCTTGGCAAATCAGAGATCACTGCTAGTTGTGTCCATTCTCAGTCAATCAGAGATCACTACTGATTGTGTCCATCCTCAGCCAATCAGAGATAGCTGCCAGTTGTGTCCATTTCGTATAATGTCTTCATTTATAATTCCATCTATAAATCAAGACACAGAGACTGGAAAGTAGCTTCTGATTTCAGTTTGCTTTCTCATTTTGGTTTTAGGTATCGTTTAGCTCCTGAGCATCTATATCCAGTTCCGTTGCTCGATTGTTGCACAGCTGTGGCCCACTTCTTGAAGCATGCCGCGGATTATGGAGTCGATCCCAACCATATTACCATTGCAGGGGACAGCAGCGGAGGAACATTTGCCGCAGCGGTCTGCCAGCGTCTTACGGTGAGGAAAGACCTCCCACGGGTCCAAGCTCAGGTCCTGATCTACCCGTTCCTCCAAGCTGTGGACTTCAACTTGCCTTCTTACCAGCAAAACCATTCCGTCCCGCCGTTGTTCAAGAAACGGGCGGTGAAGCTCGGGTTAACATACCTGACGGGGATGCGCAAGCATGTGCGCTGTCTTATGAAGAACGCTCACGTTACCCGGGATCTGCAGGCAAAGTACCAAAAATGGGTCAGCGCGGACCACATCCCGGATGAATTTAAGGCCCGGGGCTACGTGCCAATGGAGCTTCCTCCATTTTGCGAAGCTCTCCACTCGTTCTGCAAGAAGGGCTTTGACCCCATGTTTTCCCCACTTTTAGCAGAAGATGAGATTCTCCGCCAGCTCCCAAAGACATTCATATTGACCTGTGAATACGACGTCGTCCGAGATGATGGACTGTTGTACAAGAAACGACTCGAAGACAATGGCGTGCCAGTCACATGGTGTCACATTAAGGACGGATTCCACGGAACCGCATTCTTTATCGACTACGGCCTGTTTGAATTGGAAATTTCACGCCGCTCTTTGAAACCCTTAATACAGTTCTTGGAAGATTTATAAAGAGAATGCATGGATTTAAAGCTATATATAACGATCACACCGCTGCTCAGCCAAATTATGATGACCACACAGCAGTCTACCAAATTATAATGATGACACCACCACTACAGATAAGCTCACCAAAAATATAGAGGGAGAATAGTTGTTGAAACAACTGGATATTTAAAACCTAGTAACTGGGAACCACTGGAACTGAGAGACTTAAATTGATTTTTAAAAGATTTCCGCTGCCACCATATGATTAATAAACAGGCTGAGGTAAAATATTGAAAGATGGTTCTGAGACCCCCACTGTGTCATTATAGTTCTCTTAGAGCAGCGGTTCTCAACCTGGGGGTCACGACCCCCCGGTGAGTTGTTAGGCCATTTTGGGAGGGTCGCGAAGTTTCCTTGGTTGGCCCCGCCCCCTCCAAAATGGCTGCCATGCGGGCAACCTTTCTGCCCGGCCCACGCGCCTCTCCGAACTCAAAGAGGCACATAGGCCAGGCGGAGGCCTGCCTGCAGGGCCTCACCAGGCAGGCAGCCTTTCCGCCCAACCCACGCACCTCTCCGAACTCGGAGGGGCGCGTGGGCCAGGCAGAGGGCTGCCCGCACAGCCTTGCCGTTGAAGGGCCTTTTCTGCTTGGCTCTCGTCCCCTGGGTGGACGGCTCCCAGCATGGCCTGGCCATACATGGAGTGCCATGGCTGCCTGGCACTCACCCCCTGCTGAGCTTAAGAGGGGCAGAACCAGGAGGAGGGCTCCACATGGCCTGGCAGTCTGGGGAGCCTTTGCCACCAAGCCCTCACCCCCTGCCGAGCTCGGTCCAGATCCATCGGTGTTTCGGTTCGCAGTGCTCTCTTGATGGAGGTCAACTACAACATCAAATCAAGGTAAATTTCCCCTAAAGACCTTCAGTATTTTTTGCTCAAATTTGGGCATATTGAGTATTTGTGCCAAGTTGGGTCCAAATCATTGTAAATCATTGTCAATTCCTCCCAGTCAATAATTATGTTCAATTTCTAACAATGAAAATACATCCTTCATATCACATGTTTCCATTTTGATTCATAAATGTAGCAAAACTACTAGGGCTGGGTAACCATGGAAAAATTTGTTTCTAAACTCGATTCGTTTCCAGGGGGCACTAGCGTTTCCAAATTCTAAATACTTCCGAAATTTTGAGATTTCAAAATTTTGTTATTTACGAAATTTCGTTAATTTCGAATCGATTCGTTAATGGCGGACGCGATTGCGCAATATGCTAAAAAAACTCCAAATGGGACAGGGGGAACTTCTGAAGCTTCCCTCTCCCTCTGTTGTTGACTGTTGGTGTGATAAAACAAACAACAACTATAAAACTTGCACCAGACATGCGAAAATAATTACGAAATAATTACGAAAAAATTACGAAATAATTATAATAACAAAATAATTACGAAATAAATTGAAAAAATTGTTTCGAATCTAATTTACTCCTCACACTATTCCTGCATGGCTCAATATCGGATCGTAAGCTAATTTAAATACGAATTAATAACGAATTACGAAATTAACGAACGAAACCGCCCAGCCCTAAAAACTACCGTTATAAAATAGCAATGAAAATATGGTTGGGAGTCGCCACAACATGAGGAACTTCATTTAGGGGTCACGGCATTAGAAAGGTTGAGAACCACAGCTGGCTTGAATAACACTTTGGCCACAAGGTATTCACACTGAGGCTGATATAAGTTGGTAAATAATAACAAGAACTTTTATTGAACAGGCTTGAATAATTCAGGTACAAATGCTTGGTGGTTTCAGTAAAAATCTGGCACACAAAGCTTGTGGTTACGTTTGAGAAGAGATCTTAAAAACTTCTGGGTTTCAAGTTTTAAAAGTTACAGCACAGAAAATTACTTCAGGAAATGAATCTCTGAAAGTAACTCCCCCAAAAAATCCCCCTTAGGAATCTAGCCAAAACCCTGTACTAGACTTCCTTCGGAAAAGAACAGACCGCTAACAGGGTTCTGCTCCATACAGTGTTCTAGCTATACTTCTCTATAGCTACCCTGAATACTAAACAAAAGACTGACCCAAAGTTCTTCTTCAAAACCCCAAACTGCTCTTGCTAACACCCTTTCCAAGCTCCAACTCTCAACTGGCAAACTCGGAACTCAAGTCTCAGTTTAAAAGTAACTTTTTTCCTTCAGATCACTTAGGCTCTGCCCCATCTTCTTAACCAATCCTAACCTTCTAACCTTCCCTCCAAAACTAGAACACAACCCCTTAAGGCAAACCTAACCTAAGATGGCGTCTCCCTGTCTCCCTTCTCCAAAATGGATACCGTGGCTTCACCAGACCCACTCTCCTAGGCCTAAACTAGCTTACCAAGGTAAGGGATTCATTACACTAAATATCGACATTTACACAATTACCGAGAATGAAAAGATTGATACGGGACAGATTTATTCCAATAGCTTTGGTTACCGATACCGCATTGCTGCGGTATCGGTAACCAAAGCTATTGGAATAAATCTGTCCCGTATCAATCTTTTCATTCTCGGTAATTGTGTAAATATCGATATTTGGTTCGGATTTCATTAAGGAGCAGCCGAGCAGTTGCCAGGCGGATCTGGACCAAAGCCCTTGAACAAAACAGACAGTTATTGCAGCAATACGGGCGAGAAGGAGCAGGATTAGTGTAATTATATGCGAGCAGCTTAATTATCACTATGGCCATGAAAAGGTGCAACTATCTCAACCTAGCAGTTTCTTTTCCGACCTGTTTTTTGGGTAATTGGCAGTTCCTTCTGACTCCTGCTAAGTCGTTTTTGGATTTTTGGAAACCGCTGTTTACACCACACCCGCGGTTTGCCCAAAGCCTTGGAGCCTTCTCCGATTCCTGGGTGTGTCCTCATCATATGGTGCAGTCATCCTAATGACACGATTCCAACCGAAGGTGATGCATCGATCACTGAACTGTTTCCCCAAAGCCGCTTCATTTGTGATTACAAAGTCCGGACGACACCCCATTTTGTTTCTAAAATGTTTTGAAAAATTCGTAAGGTACTCGTTCGATAATTTTGATTCATTTCTGTTGGGTAGTGCTGTCTTAGCAAAGTCTTAGAATGCTTTGAATGTATGCCAATAGTACACATACTTTGTTCAAATATTGTACAGGGTCATCGGGATATGTGTTGGAGCAGGGGCGGCTCGTCCATTACGCGAAGTAAGCGGTCGCAGAACACTTTTTTTTTTGCCAGGGGTGCAGAGGTGCCTCTGTAAATGCCCCTCGACCGCCACTTGAGGAGCGCCCCCTCAGCTCACAACAGCCCTAGCAGTCCGGGGGGAGCCTCGGCTTTCTTGCCTCGCTGCCGGGCGATCCTCTTCCCAAAGGGGCCGGGCCCTTGAGCCTCGCCTAGCCCCTCTCGTTCCTGCTCCACCCGGCCACCGGGTGAGCGAGCAGAGCCGGCGCTCTAGCATTCTCCGTGTTCGATTCCTTCCCCATGACCTGCTCCCTTTCCCGATCCCCCGGCGCTCCACCCCACCTCCTCTCCATTCCCCAATCCGCGGGTGGGCCAAGGGGCGGAGCCGCCGCGCCTGGCCCGCTTCGGGTCCGGAGGCGTGTCTGAAGACCCCAGCGTGCGCACCAAAAGTCGCCTCTTCTCCTGACTTTCTCTTCAGCCATTGGGACCAAGAGAGAGAGAGAGAGAGAGAGCCCCTCCGGTTGGAGGTATCTCCCACCTCCGCTCCCTCCTTTGTTTTTGCGCCTACCTTCAGGAAAGGTGGGCATCTCCACCTCTCCTCTCTCTCTCTCTCTCTCTTGGTCCCAATGGCTGAGGAGAAAGTCAGGAGAAGAGGTGACTTTTGGTGCACATGCCGGGGTCTTCAGGCGTGCCTCCGGACCCAAAGCGGGCCAGGCAAGGGAGCAAGTGCGGCAAGTGTAGTTACTGGGATGTATAGTTCACCTACAATCAAAGAGCATTCTGAACTCCACCAATGATGGAATTGAACCAAATATGGCACACAGAACTCCCACGATGAACAGAAAATATATATCAATGATTGGTTGGGGGGGGGGGCAAAATACTGTTTGATTACCTTTGAAAATTACCTAGGGCCGCCTCTGTGTTGGAGGGATCCGCCCAAGGTCCCTGCTGAATAAACCTGCATTTTTCCCCTTCAGAGGAAGGCCTGGTGTGTTTCCTGAAATCCAACCATAACATCGGGCCAAGGCAATGGAGTTGTGTCCAGATCTTCTTCTCTCCCTCCGATATTTAGGCAGTGGCAGTTGACATGGATGGAGTGCTTTTGCTTCTGGGCCTAGGTATAATGGAGCAGCACCCATCACTTCCCTTTCTCTGATAAAAGGGCAGTGGCAGTTAGGATGGATTGATGGCTTTGCCTGCTTGCTCGTCTTTCATCCAAAGCCAAGGCAGTGGCAGCTGGGATGGATGGAGTGTTTTTGTTTCTGGAGCTAGGTACAATGGAGCAGCACTCATCTCTTTTCTCCTTCTGACATTAAGACAGTGGCAGTTGGCATGGATGGAGTATTTTTGCTTCTGGGCCTAGGTATAATGGAGTAGCAACCATCTCTTCTCTCCCTCTGAAATTAAGGCTGTGGCAGTTGGCATGGATGGAGTGCTTTTGCTTCTGGGCCTAGGTATAATGGAGCAGCACCCACCTCTTCTCTCCCTCTGAAATTAAGGCTGTGGCAGTTGGGATAGATGGAGTGTTTTTGCTTCTGGGCCTGGGTATACTGGAGCATCACCCATCACTTCTCTTCCTCTGATACAAGGGCAGTGGCAGTTAGGATGGATTGACGGATTTGCCTGCTTGCTCATCTTTCATCCAAGGCCAAGGGAGTGGCAGTTGGGATGGATGGAGTGTTTTTGCTTCTGGGCCTAGGTATAATGGAGTAGCAACCATCTCTTCTCTCCCTCTGAAATTAAGGCTGTGGCAGTTGGGATGGATGGAGTGCTTTTGCTTCTGGGCCTAGGTATAATGGAGCAGCACCCACCTCTTCTCTCCCTCTGAAATTAAGGCTGTGGCAGTTGGGATAGATGGAGTGTTTTTGCTTCTGGGCCTGGGTATACTGGAGCATCACCCATCACTTCTCTTCCTCTGATACAAGGGCAGTGGCAGTTAGGATGGATTGACGGATTTGCCTGCTTGCTCATCTTTCATCCAAGGCCAAGGGAGTGGCAGTTGGGATGGATGGAGTGTTTTTGCTTCTGGGCCTAGGTATAATGGAGTAGCAACCATCTCTTCTCTCCCTCTGAAATTAAGGCTGTGGCAGTTGGGATGGATGGAGTGCTTTTGCTTCTGGGCCTAGGTATAAT